TCTATGTCTATGTCTATGTCTATGTCTATGTCTATGTCTATGTCTATGTCTATGTCTATGTATATGTCTATGTATATGTATATGTATATGTATATGTATATATAAATATATAGATAGATATAGATATAGATGTAGATGTAGATGTAGATGTAGATATAGATATAGATATAGATATAGATATATATATATATAGATATAGATATAGATATAGATATAGATATAGATATAGATATAGATATATACAGATATATATATATATATATATATAAATAAGTATATATTTATATCTATATATATACAGATATATATATATGTATATATATATACAGAATATTTATTAGAGTAAAAGATGGGGCTATGGCTATTTTATATTTTATGGGGAAGATTGAAGATCTTACATGTCGATTTTTCAAACAAAAAAGTGTATACACGTACTACACGACAACTACACGTATGTATGTAGGCGTGTGTAAATATTAGTGAGCGGGTATGAGGGAGCGGGTGTGTAATTGGGTGAACGCGTGTGTGAGCGAGTGATTGTGTGTGATAGTATCCACATACTTTTTTTTTGTCAGAATTTCAGAGAAGGTTTTAATAAGTATTTATTTTAAAAAGAGATTTCTTTTCTAAACAAAAGGTTTCTCTGAGTTTCTCCTCGCACTTCTCGCTAAACTCTAAAGTATTGACAATTTGACAGTATTACAAATATGCATAGATCTGAAATAAGCCAATCCCAGTCAGGTAAGGTGACTAATAATCACTCTGCGGTCTACTCTGTGCTCAGAATATCTCTCTAAGTCTAGAGTATCTACTCTAGTACGTAATAGAAAATTTAAAGCTTTTATATAGAAACATTTGTTTTACAAACAGATAAAAAGAAGCAGACAATAAATTTCTCAATTTTGCACTTGAGAGATATTTTTTAAACTTTTAGTGAGTAAAGAAAATAAATATCAAAATGGCACGATGGCAAACTAGCGTAGCGCATCTTTAATTAATATAATATGAAAACGACTTCGCTACATGTCGGCTGAAACTACCTCGCCGACATGTCGTCTACTGCAGACTGCAGACTGAGTTGCAGAGCCTATTCTAGAGTATATAGGTGCTTTATATCTATAGAAAATTTATCGCTTGTATAAAGAAACATATTTTTGAAAACAAATAAAAAGAAGCAAACGACAAATTTCTCGATTTTGCACTTGGGAGATTTTTTTATTAACTTTTATAAGTAAAGAAAATAAATATCAAAATGGCACGATGGCAAACTAGCGTAGCGCATCTTTAATTAATATATTGTGAAAACGACTTTGACTCCACGGCAAATTCGACTTGGTATTGAAATTACGGTATACTTCCTAGGTTTTATGGTTGAAAGATGGTAAAATAGAAATGCGAAAGATTTTTAATACTCTATATTCGAGTGTTAAAATAGCAGAAGTTTACAGTATTGGTCACCGATCACGGCTGATCCGTCAACCTTACTAGCAAAAAAAAGCGAATTGTTACCTATAAATACTGGCTTCCTTGGACAGAAAATAATCATAACCTCCCAATTCCAATCAACAAAGCCTACAAATCCCGCAAAAGCCCAAAAGTCCACGCAATTGAACTTTGAAATGATTTCTGTAAAGGCTACCTTGGTTGCCGCCGTCTGCGCGCTGGTGCTCTCCGCTCCTCTTGAAGACGATGTTTTCCCCACACCGGCTGACGCGACCGATTATGGGGCCAATGTAGCTGGTGTCGAACTCCTGCATCTTACGGATGATGGTCCAATGGTCACCGCGAAAAATGTTACGGTGAATGAAACTGTGCCTCTTGGACGGTCCATTATTCCTGGTGTTAACTGGTACGAGGTCGACGTTTGCTCGTATTTCGAAAACGACTGCTGCGACGAAAGCGTCTGTAACTACAAGGTCAAGTATGGAAACGGGGTGTGCAATTCCGAATGCAACAGTCGCGTCTGTGGTTACGACGGCGGGGATTGTAATCCCGATAATAAGGGGTTCCAAATCACCAACAATTGCCACTTGTCGGTCGATATCGCCTTTCTCCACCTAAAGAACGACGGTACTTGGGTCACAACGTGCTGGTACGAGGCTGATCCAGGAAAGTCTGTTAGACCCCTTCATCTCTACAGCGATAACCTGGTCTGGTACTACTACGCCAGAGTAAGAGGTACAAATAAGGAATGGCATGGTGACGTTGATAGAGTTTGCGATATGCAAACACTTGGGTTCAGGAAGGTTACTAGTCTGCACACTGACGAGTTTTTGGAGCGATCCCTGAGCTGCTAATTACACGACAGATCTCAAAGGAGAAATTGAATTGGGGCGTGTATGGTGGTAAACTATCGTAGCTCTCTGATGAATAGTAATAATAAAATGAACTGTACATTTATCGCACTTTATAAAATGACGGCGCAAATAATAGTCAGTGTATTTTTACTACTTGTAGTAGCTGCGGTTGGTGGTGCACTTGTGTACATTGCTAATACGAATACAAGCACTAATACAAATACAAACACTAATACTGATACTACTACTGATGCTGGGGGTGAAAGCACGGTCGATACAGGTACAAATCTCACAGACCGGTTTTGTACCAACGGCATAGATACAGGCTTTGACTGGAAGTACTATACCATGCAGCAACTATGCACCACGACCAAGGGACAGTACGACTTGTCGTCGTTGGAAAAAATCTCGCCGTAAACCAACCGAACATGGTACTGCTTGGGAGCGAAAACTTTGTGGGTGTTGACTGGTCGTTGGCGGACGTGCAGAAGTTTGAACTGGACTTCTACATAGCCTTTGCAGCAAGAAAAGAATGCCTGTTGAAAACATCAATATGCTTAGACTAGCTGGTCGTACATGATATGCTAACATCGTCTGTGAGACTGATACAGGGCAGAGGTACCACCTTCTTTATGGGAATACTTAAGGGAATCCGGCAACCCAGTGCTGTACATGGAGTACATGGACCGAAAATTCTGTTCATTTTGCTCAGGAAGAGGCGATGTTGTAGAAGAAGTTTTATGGGATTACTCGCGAAATGATATAGTGTGAACGTAAGATCAAAACGCATATTTCAATATTTGCGTTGGAAGTTAAAAAAGATCTGCTGGGGTTCTTTATTTTTTTCTTCTATATATATA